CGTCGATCCCAGCGCGCGGGCGCAGCAGCTGGCGGCCGCCCCCAGACCTTCGGCGCAAGAGCTGCAGGCGCAGTGCGAGGCTTGGGCGATGCCCGGCGGGGCCAAGCAGGAGGAGGTCACGGTAGAGGACGCGCAATGGGTGCACGCCGTAGAGCAGGCCCTGCTCATCACGGAGCAGGTGGACCAGGCCGACCGCAGCAAGTTCTGCGGCAGAGCGGGGCTGCACAGCTTGCGCTGGGCCAGGCTTCGGCCCTCCCCGGGGCGGGCGCACATGAAGTCGCCCGCCGTGGAGTGGTGGTGGACCATAGAGTCGCTTATGACGAGGTTCGTCGCCCTCAGGCGCCGCGGTCGGGGTGAAGACCAGCAGAATACCTTGCGCTCGTCCATCGGCGAGATGATGGAACAGGGCGGGGCCCAACCGATGGCCGCGCTCTTCGGACCTCGCGCCCTCCCGGCCGACTGCGCGTCCTGGTTCGAAAGCCTCCGCGTCTTCATCGGCGCCTCCGACCTCGTCGACCCCGCCACCTTGGAGCAAGTGCTGGAGACTACTGCGTGCTGGGTGGCTCGGGCCTGGAGCCGGGCCCTGACGGCCTCGTCCAAGGCCTTCGTCGCGTGGGCCAAAGACTGCTGGCGGTCTCGGCCAGGCCGGGCGCGCGGCCACGTCGAGGACCGCCCCGTCGAGCGCGTGGAGGTACCCACCGAAGGCGACGCCCTGGGAGCAGCTGGGGCGTCTTCCGACCCGGAGGCAATCATGGCCTCCAAGACGTCCCACTGGGAGGACACCCGGACCTCCAGGCACGACCTGATTCAGGCCATGCGTGATCTCCACCACGCTGCCCGCGGGGGCCCGCGAGGACCCTCTCCCGCCGATCGAGCAGGCGACCGTCGAGGGCGTCGTCGCCGGGCTTCCCAGTAGCAAAGCCCGAGGGGTCGACGTGCTCAGCCCGACCGACCTCCAGCGGCTGCCTTCCGAGGGCCGCGCTGGCTTCGTCAGTGTGCTCAACGCCGCCGAGGCTGCGGGCACCTGGCCCCTGCAGATATTGCTGACGATATGTGCAACTCCCCCCAAGCCAGCGGGAGGCGACCGCGTCATTGGAGTACTCCCCACAACGATGGGGATCTGGAGCCGCGCCCGTGCCGGAGCCACCGACCAGTGGTCGGCGCAGCAGTCGCACTTTTGGGACGCAGCCGTGCGGGGCTCCTCAGCCCTTCGCGCGGCTCTCGTGCGAGCCGTCCTCGACGAGACGGCGGGGGAACTCGGATTCCACTTCGCGATGATGCTGCTCGATCTGGAGAAATTTTATGACAATGTTAGCTGTGCAAACTAATGGCGGTCTCGATGCAAGCAGGATTCCCTCCCATAGTTACGCTGCTGGAGGTTCACTTGTTTCTGGCCCCTCGGACCCTCAAGGCCCGTGCGATGGCCAGCATTCCTCTGTTCCCAACTCGGTCGATTGTGGCTGGTTCGGCCCACGGAGTGAAGATGGCTAAGCTTTTCCTAGGGCCGATCCTCGAGCGCGTGCGCATTCGCTGCGGCGTCCAGTCCATGATAGCATCAGTAGGGTTGTGGACATTTGTGGACGACACTGTAATTCGTAGCGAGGGCATTTGTCAGCAGGGTGTCATCCGACTGACTTTGGCTACAGAGGAGCTCGTGCCGTGCTTTGAGGAGAGCGAGCTCGCAGTCTCGAGCAAGACGAAGCTCTTGGCCTCATCCTGATCTCTCGGCGAGGAGCTGCTGCCTACCCTGCGGGGCCTCGGTCTGCCCATCAGTCTTTTTCCCCGCGCTGTCGATCTCGGATGCGACACGACGGGGTCCAAGCGTAGGGTGTGCAAGAAAGCCAAGGGGCGCATGGCTCAAGTCAGGCGCCGGTCAGGCCGAGTGTTTCGACTGCGCAAGCAGGCAGCTCTCACCAGTGTTGCTAAAGGTTTGCTTCTTCAGGGCTCGTTGCCGCAAGCGGTGCGTGGGCACCGAGCGCTCGGCCTTGCCCCCTCCACCACCCTGACTCTGCGCAGGCAGGCGAAGCACGCGGTGGCGGGGGGGGCCCTGGCAAGTGTCTGTCGACGGTTTTGGGATTGTGGTATGGTGACCAGGACCCCGCCTTGGCCCTCCGCTGTCAGGTCCTTTCGACCTGGTGCGACCTCTGGGACCGCCATCCTGACCTTCATAGCCGTGTCGGCCGTGCCTGGCAGCCCATCCTGAAACGGCTTGGGGGTCTCTCGAAGCATCGGTGGCGCAGTGTCCGAGGTCCGATTGCAGCCGTGATAGCGACCCTTCTCGACGCGGGCTGGAAGCCCGTGTCCGCTACAGAATGGCACCGCCCCACGGGGGGAGATGATGCCGATGTCTGGTCTTTTCCAGACGCCCCCCTGAGGAGCGCGAGGAGGGTGATTTTGATTTTTCGGAGTTGATTGCTGATTTCAGGGACGACCTTCGGGCCCAACTTTGGCGCCGGGCGTCTGAGCATGTTTTTGGCGCCGGCCTGGAGGAAGGGGCCGACCTTGTCCCTGCCCAGGCTCATCTTGCCAGACTGCTCAAGAATGAAGCCTACGATCAGATAGGTCAGCTTGTCACAGTCATGGCGGGAGGGCAATGGCCCCGCGACCGCCAGATTGAGGCGGGGTATCCCGCCTCCGCTCTATGTCCCAGATGTGGCACTGCCCCCGACTCGTGCTACCATCGCATCTGGACCTGCCCGTGCAATGTAGACAAGCCCGCGTACACAGCGTCGCATTCGCTTGTGTACGAAGCTCAGATAAATTACGAATCCATGCCATATCTTTGGCTGCGGGGTGTGCCCCCTGCTCAGCTCACGGTTCCGCGACTTACAGAGATCTGGGACGTGGAGTGGGCCCTGGGCTCTGGCCATGTCGGGGCGCCAGCGCAGCCGTTGGAAGCTCTCGATCGAGACTCTTGCGGGGCTGCGTCTGCTTTCGGGGATGGGTCTGGAGGCCGCTGCAGCAGCGACCCTCGTCGCCGCAGGGTCGGCGCAGCGGCGGTGGCACTCAAGCCCACCAGCACGGGGTGGGAGCTGTTGTCTGGGGTGGCCAGCACGTTGGGAGGTCGACGGCAAACCGTCCCGAGAGCGGAGCTCCGTGCGTTCGAGCTAGCCCTGAAGGCCTACGCAGGCCCGATAATCTCCATCACAGACAATGCGGCGCTGCACCAGGGCTGGATGTCCGGCCGGGCCGAGCGATCGGCCGGCAAGAATGCAGATTTGTGGTTTCGAATTCGGTCGGCCCTGAGGTCTCGCGAAGGTTGCGTCCAGGTGTTTTGGGCGCCCCCGCATGTGGACCCCGACGACCCTGCCCTCACCCCGCTCCAGCGTCACCTCGCGGTTGGGAACAGCCTCGCCGATGAGCACGCCGGGGGCGCTGCGAATCGTTCGTGGGAGCTTGCCCTTGAGGGCCGTCGGGCCCCCGACACCGACAAGTGGGATTGCGCGGCCCATCTCATACGCAGGAGGGCCGCCCAAGCCATGGTAGACGCCATCGCCGCAGCACCGTGGACCTCCAGTCGGCCCAAGACGGGCCGAGAGGCCAAGAGTGCGCGCGACAATGGCGCTCCTGAGCAGTGCGCACTGCTGGACTTGGGCTCGCAGCAAATGGGTTTGCTCGCTTTGCCATTGCATCCAGAACGATCAAGATATAATTCAAGCTGCCTCGACCGAATGTCCAGGTGCTGAGTCGCGCGACGACCAGGCCTTCGATCTCATAGAGCGGGCGGCCAGTGGGGAAAGGTGTTGCACGAATCCCATCGCTTGTTTCACTGGCCTCGGTTTTCCTTGCATATTTGTTCCTACTGTGGCAAAACCGCATCGACGGACCCGCGTCAACTCACTGGGCCGTGTACGCCTTCAAAGAAGGGCCATGAGAATTTGGCCCGAATTCGCCAGGGTAAGCACCCCAGCCATCACGGGCCGTCTGTGGTTGTCATAGAGACTGATCTCTCCAGGGTTCGACGGATCGAGGCGCGTCGAGGTTCTCACCTCCCTGATGTGCGGCGGTAAGGGGTTCGGCTACGTCACCTGTAGCGCTTATAGAAGCCCATAGAATCCTTCATTCTGCCCCCTCCTTGTTTTCCTCCCTTTGCCTCCTTCCCCCTCCTTCTCTCCCTCCTTTCCCCTGCTTTCTCATTCCGTTTTCCACTCCTTTCTCCCCCCATCTCCACATTCCTCCGTAGCTCCCCCTACCCTATCTCCACATCCCCCTCATCGTCCCTTCTTCTTCCTTCCTCATCCTTGCTCTCCTCCCCCTCCCCCTAATCTTCCTCGTCTCCCTTTCTCTCCCTTTCCTCTTCTCCTTCCTTCCTTTCTCCTTCCGTTTCTGTCCTTCCTCCTTTTCTCCTTCCTCCTTCCTCCTTCACCCTCTCCTGCCTCCTGCCCCCTCTTCTCGTTGTCCTCCCTGCTTGTGCCTCCCCCTTCTTTGCTTCCCTCCGTCTCTCCCTCTTCTGTTTTCTCTTCCTGCCTCATCCCCCCCCCCGCATCCTCCTCGCGCCCTTTTTTCCCCCTCGTCGCCGCCGCTGGCATCGCCGTCGTCGGCGTCGGCACGGGCGTGGGCTTCCGCTGTCGTTGTCCTCGTCGTCGCCGCCGTCGCTTGCGCCGCCGCGGGCGTCGTAGTCGTCCCCGTCGCAGGCGCCGTCTTCGTCGTCGCCGCCGTCGTCGTCGTCGTCGTCGTCGTCGTCGTCGTCGCCGCCGTTGTCGTCGTCGTCGTCGTCGTTGGCGTCGTCGCCGACGGCTTCGGCGTCGGCGTTGTCCTCGTCAGCGGCGTCTTCGGCGGCGTTGTCCGGATCCGTGGGTCCAAAGCCGACCCCTGGACCTGTCTTGGGTTCTGACCACAATTTCGAGGCGGATCCAGCCGTCCGTGGCGACGGGAAGGCCATTGGAGGCCACTGGAGGCCCAGGGAAGGCCACTGAAGGCCCAGAGAACGTCGAACCGCAAGGATGGATGAGAGGGGAGGAAAGGAGGGAGTGATCGGCGTCGACGCTGTTGTCGGCCAGGCACTTCTGTCGCCTGAGGGCCGCGCTCGCCTTCGAGGAGATCTCGGCCCGCGCGCAGCTCCTCGGAACCTCGGCGCCGGCGCCTTAGCACAGGTAACTTGCGGCATCTCGTGTCCAGATGCTTGTGCGAGCCGCAACATGGGACCGGCGGTCCGCCGTTTCGCGCGCCGCCCCACGGTCGCCCAAGAAGGGGGGAGGAGGGACACCTTTTGAGTGGCGGTTGGTCGGCGGAGGGGGGCAACTTCAGGGCGGCTTGGAATTCGAGGTTTCTTTGGGCGTGTCCGAAGATTCTCGGCGGCTTCCAGCCTCGGGGTGCTCTCCAGCAGCTGCGCCTCGCCGAGAGGCATCCAGGGGTGACTGGATCGTCCCGAACGGCTGCTGGAGATTTGAGTTATGACCTGAAAGCCGGACGACAAGGATCACTGGTGGGTTGCCTGAGGGATTCTTATTTCGGGGGTGGACAGAACCCCCACGTTGACACGTCACTTAATGAATTGTCAATTTTCCGTTCTCGAGAGGGCGCCGCGGCCGTTATTTTCCAGGCTTGCGCCCGCCAGGTTTGGGCCCAAGGTCGTTGTCACTAAACTGCGTTTTACCAAAGGGACTTCTGTCCATCCCCGATTATTTGTCTGTTCTGCGAAAGAGCCAGTGGGTGCGGGGTGCCAATGCAGAGGCGGCCCCTGGAGTTGCCCGGTTCCCCAGTCTCCTGTTCCTTAGGTTCCCTGGCTTTTCTCTGTACCCCAGTCTTGTTACCCGCCTTCTATGATCGGATTCCCTAGTCTTGTTCCTTGGCTCCCCTGTCGTTGCAATGCCAAGAGCTGCCGAGGAACGGCGAGGGAGGAATGCCAAGCAATACCAAGCAATGCCAATCAATGCCAGGCACAGCTATGCAAAGCATCGCAATGAACAGCAATGCCAAGCAAAACCAAGCAACACCAAGAAATGGCAAGCAAAACCTAGCATTGCGAAGCAATGCCAATCGGTTCCAAGCAAAGCCAAACCCAGCAAGGCAAAGCAATGCAATGCCAAGCACCGGGCTTCTTCTCGAACTAGGCTCTGCCTAGTGGTTTTCCGTTTTCTTGTGAAAGAACTGGGTGGCGACGCCCTTCCCAGCACGCGTTTCTCGGGGTTGCCCTGGGTTGCCTGGGGTTGCCTAGGGTTGCCTGGGGCCACCTGGAGTTTATCGGGGTTGCCTTTGGTCGCTTGGATTTTCCCGTGGTTCCGCAGGGTTGCTCAGGGTTGCCCGTGCAATGCAACGCAACGACAAGCAATGCCAAGCCATGCTAAGCAATGCCAAGTAATACCCAGCAGTGCAAAACAATACAACACAATGCCAAGCAATGCCAAGCGATGCCAAGCAAAGCCAAGGTTTGCCAAGGAATGTCAAGGAATGCCAAGGAATACAAACACTGCCAATCAATGCCAAGCAACGCCAATCAATCAATAGGCAACAATACCAGGCACCGCCAAGCAACACCAATCAAAGAGGGGGGGGGCAGGAGGAAGAGCATGCGGAGGAGGATGCGGGGGGGTAGTTTGGGCAGGAGGAAGTCGAGGAGGGCAATGAGCAGGTGGAGGACGAGACGAGGCGAAGGAACAGGAGGAGGAGGAGGAGGGTGAGGAGCAGGGGGAGGAGGGGATGCTTGTCCGGGTCTCTTCGGAGCGCTTTCGGGGGCCTCTGGTGGGCAGTTCGGGGGCGTTTTGGGAGACTCTTGGGGGGGCCTCTTGGGTGGGGGGCCACATGCGAACCCTACCCCCACCCCCCACGACTTCTGAGGGGGAGGGTGGGGTTCGCTTCGTTCGCCCTCGCCCTCAGAAGTCGTGGGGGTAGGGGTAGGGTTCGCATGTGGCGGCGTATTTTCGGGGCCTCCTGGGGGCCTCCAGGGGCTTCCTGGGGACGGCATCCTCTTGGAGCCGTCTTGGGTGCCTCTTGTCCTGTCTCGGAGGCGTCTCGGGCCGTCTTGGGGCACTCTTGGGCCATGTCGGGAACCTCTTGGAGGACTTTGGGCCGTCTAGGGGCGATCTTGGGGGCCTCTTGGGCTGTCTTGGAGCGTCGGGAAGCGGAAGAGGCGAGAGCGCTAAAATCCTTCAAACCCTTTCTAGGGAAATTTATGAATTTGTCTCTTGGGGCCTTCTTGGGAGTGCTCCTGGGGGCCTTTTGGGGCGTCTTGCAGGCCTTATGGGCCGTCTGGAGGCCGTGAAGGCGTCTTGGACAGATCGTTCGGCGATTCGGAGTTCTCTTGGACCGTCTTTGGAGCCTCTTCGGGAACTCTTGGCCCGTCCTGGGGCTTTTAGGGGACCCAGGACCCTCCGAGAGGAGTCGTATCCGGTTGGCGACCCTCCGGGGATCCCCCCAGAGACCCCCCCTGGTGGCGACCCCCCGGGTCCCTCTCGGGATCCCCCGCTCGCCCCCCCTCCTCCCCCCGAAGGGGGAGCGATCAATGGAAAGGGGCTTCCCTTCGACTGAACTGCGACGTTGCTCTATTTCGTTTTGGCTGGCGCGCTTCAGGAGGAGGGCCCAGGAAAAGAGGGGAGCGGCGACGGGCCCAGTGAAATGGGTGGGGCGCAGGGAAAGGGGACGACAGAGACGAAGAGGAACGAATGACGGAGTCGATGACTCGAACGGACAAGCACCTCACACACGCCGACAGGGTCGGCAGATTCTGTACCTCGTGTAGCACCTCTCCCGTGCGTGCTTTGGCTCTGGTATAGCACGTCTTTCTCGTTTTTCCGCGCGTGCTCTCGTATAGCACCTCTTCCCTCTTTGTCGTCGGTGGTGTCCTACTTCGTGTGTTCAGTGTTGTACTAGCTGTAGTATTCACGTCGTGCTTGGCGTCCGTCATGGTGGCCACCATGAGAGATATGTCACTCCACCTGGCGTTAAGGCCACGCCGCATATTGTCGCCAGTCCTGCGTGACGCAGCTCGCAGCGGCCTAGGCCCCAGAACGCCCGTCACGTACATCTCGTAGCCAATTCTCCTCGTACACCTCCGTGGCTGTTGGCGCCCGTTGCACCGCCATCGCGCGGCGGCGGCCAGCGGGCTAAGACTGGCCCCGCTGCCCCGGGGGCACGAGTGCAGCGGATGGATCACGAATCTCCTCCTCCTCCTTCTCCTCCTCCTCCTCCTCCTCCTCCTCCTCCTCCTCCTCCTCCATCGTCTCTTCTCCCTCCCTCTCCTCCGCCGCATCCGCATCCGCCTCCGCCTCCTCCTCCTCCTCCTCCTCCTCCTCCTCCTCCTCCTTCTCGTCCTCCCAGCGCCAGGGCCCCTTGGCGGCTCCCCCTTGGAGTGCTGAAGCCAGCGCCTCGCCTGAGACATCCTAACAATCTGTTCTGAGAGCAAGTGCTGTTGGGCATGCAAACGGGCAAACCGCTTGAGATATCCCCAAAACCTTGGCGCGAACGGGCCTGTGCGATACCCCCCTGGCGCCCCCTCGTGGGAGTGCTGAAACCGGCGCCTCGCCCGAGACATCTTCACAGCCTGTGCGCGTGAGTGATTCTGAGCATGCGTGGATCTGACTGACGCAGTGATATGACTGACTCTGCACGAAGGGAAGGTTCAATCTGAGTATGAGTGCGTCTGAGGGGGACAGTGATGTGATTGAGTCGGCTCGAAGGGAAAGGTGAGTCTGATTATGAGTGCGTCTGTGGGAGGACATGACGTGACTGAGTCTGGGAACGAGTGAGTCTGAGTATGAGTTAGTCTCAGTGTGAGTCGGTCTGAGTATGAGTGAGTCAGAGTGAGATGAGGGTGAGCGTGAGTGTGAGGAAGGAGGCAGGTTGGGGAGGAGAGGCGACGCGGCCTGAGTAATAACAAGAATCCTATCTTCGGATATGGGGAATAACAACTGAGAAACGAAGCCAGGCCAGGAGTGCCGCGGGGCCAGTCCACAAAGAGGCTGGTCGCGGGTGGTAGCTGGTGAGGGGCCCGGGACCATAACCTGGATGCCCGGGGTTCCCCCGTGTGACGGGGGTGGGGACCCACTGAGGTGACCCTTGGCATTCTTAGGGGAGGGAGGGAGGGATGAGGAGGCGGAAGAGGAGGAAGAGGAGGAGGAGGAGGAGGAGGAGGAGGAGGAGGAGGCTCAACGTTTGCTGGTGTTCGAGGGGGGCATGCCTGGACTTCGTGGCAAGAGCAGGCAGAAATCTTCATTTTGGAACGTCGAGCCAGAACCATAACCAGAACCGGGAGGAGGACGAGGGAGGATGGGCAGGAGGTAGACGAGGCTCCCTCCCCCTCCTTCCCCCTCTCCTTGACCCGCCGATCGCGCACCGAGGCGCGAGCAGCAGCAAGAGGATGACGGCTCCGGGTGCTCCTCGTGGAGCGCGGAGGTGTCGGTGGTGGGCGCCGAAGGCGCGCTGCTCACGGCCGCAGACCTACGCCGCGGCCGCTCGTCGTCGTCGTCGTCGTCGTCGCCGTCGCCGTCGCCGTCGCCGTCGCCGTCGCCGTCGCCGTCGCCGTCGTCGTCGCGGTCACCGTCGCCGTCGTCGTTGTGGCCCTCGCGGTCACTGTCGCCGTTGTCGTCGTTGTCACCGTCGCCGTCGTCGTCGTCGTCGTCGTCGCTGCCGCCGCCGTCGTCGTCCACTTGGTCTGAACTCAGGCTTCCGCAGTCCCGCTTCGGGCCACAGGGAGGTGCACCTAAGACGGCTGGATATTTGAAAACCAAGGCGAATGTTCGGATCTGAGCTCCCGGATCCCCACGTATTCAGCAAATCAGAGCGAGGGAGGTCTGGCTTCTCCCCATTTTCATCCGCTCTGCTTCCGTGCCTCTTGGTTTACCGAGGAGGCCTTCGGCGAGTCACCGCCGCCCCCTGCCCTTGTGTCAAGCGCAAGGCATTTGGGTCGATAGTCGATGTACAATTCGTTCGGACGTGGTTTTGGATTCTCAATCCCCGTAGTGTTGTCTGGACGATTTGGGGAGCACAGGGGCCTGAGAGAGCAGAGCCTTCTTGGAGGCGTCTTGGGGCGCTTTGAAGGCCGCCTTGGGCCTTCATGCGAGCCTCCTGTGGCCCTTTGGACCTTCTTGGGGCGCTCTTGGGCCGTCTGGAGCGCTGCCAGGCCGTCCTAAGGATCTCTTGGGGCCGTCTTGGAATCCATTACCTCTTGAGTCCCACTCCATCCTCCTCCGTTCCTGATCGTCCTGCTCCTCCGCCTCCTCCTCCTCCTCCTCCTCCTTGCCCTCCCCGTTCCCTCGAGGCACGCGGCTGACCCTGCGCCCCTGTGGCGCCCGCGCCGTCTCCGTGCTGGGGGCGGCGCGCAGGGGCGAGGCGGTGATGCTGCGGAGCGGCGGCGGCGACGGGGGCAGGCCCGTTTGGGGGGAGGGGGGCGGCGGAGGAGATGGGCGGAGGTCGGAGCG